AGATTAGTACGAATAGTTGTGTCCTGCAAAAGGACTCCTCCCAAAGTCTCTTCNCTCAAGGTTGACTCAGTCTTCCATCCTTCCGAGTTGGGTAAAATGAGATTGCTGGGGGCAATAGGCTGACTCTGTAAACTGCTTTTAGAGAGGGCTGTAAACGCACTATGAAGCGGTATATAACTAAGAGCTATTGCTAAGTGCGATGGCGGAAGATTTACAAACCATTTCCCCTAAGTAGGAGATTTTGTAGTTTTCTCCTTAAAAGCCCCTTGTTTTGATTAGCAAAGGGCATCGTAAAGTTGGATGTGTGAATTTAAAGGGAGAACAAAGTCCTCTCTTTCTCTCTCTCTCTCTCTTTCTCTGTGTGGGTATATGGGTGTGTGTTTGTGTGTGTGTTTGAAAATAGGAAACCTGATGAGTTCATGTTCAACTCGATGCAACTCAACCAATTTAGGCAAGGCACTGCCGACAAGCGTGAGCGGTAAAGCTTAATAGCTAGAGACACAAAGTGCACCCTAGTGTTGTGATTATGATGTTCTGAGAATGAACACCCTGTACCTGCTTTTTAAGTTGACCTGCCTTCTTCCCGCACATAAACAGCAAGATTCGGGGCCATTTTCTGTAAACCAGATTGACTGCTTTCAGCCAATTTTCCAGAGGAGTTACAAATTCCAGATGATGAGTGGACCAATCCTCCAGGAAAAACCATCAGAAAAGATTGCCCCAGTCTGAGAAGCAGCCTGCTCCCATTAACCAGAATGTCTCTTGCATTTGAAAAAATAACCCTACGCTGAATAGAAATCGAAGCAGACAGTTGCATCTGACCTTCCCGGAGTCTCTTTGCTAGCAGAACAAACAACCCACCCTGTTCAAGGTTACCAGCTCCGTCCGTGGCATGAATCGTCCACTCCTTACAGTTTATGAATGAATGCAAAGAATAGGACACTTTCAGGACAGAATGAAAGGGAGGAAAGTTGAATGGAATCAGGGCAAAATGATGACACGCAAGGACAAACAAGAGGTCGAAAGGAAGGAGATCAAGAGATAAAGATAGCAGAGGCAGACATAATGATGCCGCTCTTGTCACAATCATTATTTCTAAAAAAAAAAAGCTTCAAAGGAGTTTGCATGCCACTGTCTTCTCTAACATGTATTTCTTTTCTCTTCTGTTACAACGTTGAAGTGTGTTATACACATGTAACATTCAATGCAATGGTGGCTTGTATGTTTTTAGTGCAATCCGCTAACCCATTCTTTATAAACTGTGATCCCTTGTTATTTTGGCTTACTGTTATATGTGTTTCCTCCTCCTACTACTTCCTAACAAACTGTGATTTAAAAAAAAAACTGGTTCTCTTTTGGAATTGTAACTATTATATACTACTCCTAAGCATGGTAATTAGATTACCATCTAGATTATCTTAGGTCTTTAGGTTTGATTGTATTGAAATACCATAAGAGGAAATTATCACAGTATTGTCTTATGTGTAAGTATATTTGTGCAGGTTGTAAGGCTGTAGTATTATTATTGCCCTTCTCATCTTCTCTACTAACCCCCCTCCCACCTTATTGGTATCATTATGATTTTTGTTACTCAGTTGCTTTGTATTCACACTGAAAGCTTCTGCACCAGAGACAAATTCCTTGTGTGTCCAATCACAGTTGGCCAATATATCCTATCCTATCCTATCCTATCCTATCCTAATTATATTCCACTCCATCCCATCCCATCCCATTCCATCCTATCCTATCTTATTCTAATTCTATTCCACTTCATTCCACCCCACTCCATTCCATTCCACTCCACCCCACCCCATCCCATCCTATCCTTATTCTACTCTACTCCACTCTACTTTCTTTACTCTATTAAATTACGGACTTCCCAAACTGAATGATGTTAAGCTATCAAAGGTCAGTATTTATAATGAAATATATATATACATCACTGTTTTAATACCTTCCATTTTTTTCTGTGCAACTGAGGTTCTACCTAGGACTGGTAGAACCCATATCTTAGTTATCATAAAAAAATAGAAATTAATTCAAATGTTGCTCATTTTGAACCAGACTGTCCTCACCATGGAGGAAAATAATAGCTATGTTATGACAAGCAGAACAGCTGGAGGCAAGACTGAAGCATGCCATGTACTAAATCTTCGCTTCTTGCAGGTCTACTAAATAATACAAATTTTACTCCTCTCACTCAGAAAGAAAGAAATAGAAAAGAGAGTGGAGACTAATTTCATATACTGGGCTAAGCTTCAATTATATTCATCATGGTTTGTTGAATTAGCCCCAGCTGATCAGAATCATGTAACATGTTAAGCCATAACCCTGGTTTACAAACCACATACACTAAGCAAACAACAGGCCCACCATATCCGGGCTTAGGGGGAATCCATGCAAGAACCCAGTTAGAGGGAAAGGAAGGGAGAAAAGCAAGGGAAATCCCAAACAAGAAATCTCAGACTCAATGCAGGCACATCCACCCCAGGAGGAGAGCAAAGGAAGTAAAACCTTTTCCCCATAAGGACCCAGGGCTGAGCAATCTTTTTGTCTCCAGCCTTATACTAATCTTGCAGGTAGCAATGAAGTGGAGAAAAAAAATGACAAGAGGAAGAAGATCAGTTTGACAATGTCAGGCAAACAGGCTGCTAATGGCCATTTATAACCTGTTGACAATGAGCTGATGTTCTCCTTGCTTAAAGATCCATGCTGCCCGGAGCCACCAAGGGACACTTCGCTCCTTCCTTTTGCTTTGTTAATCACAGAGCAATTGAGCACAGCCATGTGTTTGATGGAAAACAGGTGAAATTTTTGTTATAGCTGCTTAGAGTCTAAGGTAAAGGTAAATATTCCCCTTGCATTTTTGTGCTAGTCATTCCAGACTCTAGGGGGCAGTGCTCATCTCCATTTCAAAGCCAAAGAGCCAGCACTGTCCCAAGACATCTCCGTGGTCATGTGGCCAGCACGACTAAATGCTGAAGGTGCGGAACGCTGTTACCTTCCCACCAAAGGTGGTCCCTATTTTTCGAGTCTTTACAAGATATGCAATGAGAAACAAGTTGCCAAGAGAAGCCCATATAAGATCTACCAAGAAAGCAATCAGAACACAAATGCTACAAATGGCAAGCGATATAAGATTGCACTACTATTGGAAAGATACAGGATGATGTAATGAAATGTTATAATAAAAACTAATTTAAATTTAGTTAAATTTAGAATATTACGCATAAAATGAAGTAATAATAGTTATAGTCAAATAAATGATTAACAATGCTAATAATGCGCGCGCGCGCACACACACACACACATATATACATACTAGATTGATAATATGAAATTTTATACAAATTGTAAGTGAGGACTATGGAGAGGATGCTCAAAAGTTTTGTAACTAAAGATAAACAATTTTTTTGTAGAATATAATATAAAGATGTAATATTATTGGATGGTTTTAGGATGAAGTAATGAAACGCTATAATATAAATTTATTTTAAATCTAGAATATCTGACATAAAACAATGTAATAATAGTTATAGTCAAATGAATGTTTAACAATGATAACAATTGTATACATAGTATATATTACATTGATGATATGAGATTCTATATAAATTGTTTATCTTTAGTAACAAAACTTTTGGGCATCCTCTCCATAGTCCTCACGTACAATTTGTATAAAATTTCATATTATCAATCTAGTATGTATGTATGTATGTATGTATGTATGTATGTGTATATCTATCTATCTATCTATACACACACACATCCATTATTATCATTGTTAATCATTTATTATTTGACTGTAACTATTATTGCTTCATTTTATGCGTAATATTCTAAATTTAACTAAATTTAAATTAGTTTTTATTATAGCATTTCATTACATCATCCTATATTCTTCCAATGGTAGTGCAATCTTATATCTTTTGCCATTTGTAGTATTTGT